CTTCTGCAGCTTCCTCAGTAATTCAGAACATGAGCACTGTAGCATAGCACAGTAAAATCCTCCAAGCCTGAAGTGGGCTCCATGCTGCATGACCATTGCCAGGAAGTGTCTCCCAGAATGTTCCACTTCCTTCCCAGGTTAGCTGCTTGTTTCCAAGCCTTTCCCAGTATACTGACTCTTTTCAAATAAAAGGAATTGGTTGCATTGCATAGCAAGCACCTGCTATTTAAAAAGACAGTAACAAAATGTCTGGAGCCTTTCTTTCTGGCAGGCCATTTCTGTACCTTGATTACAAGTGCAAAATCAGAAGAATGGGGAATTATGTGTTTTAACAGTCAGAGTCCCAGATGTAAAGGCAAGTTCATGATTCCTGTTTCAGATGTACAGAACTGTTGAATTTTAGGACAACAACTTTTTGGTGAAATGTTGTAGGAAAATGAGGAACAAAGCAAGAAAAGAGGCTTAAAAAAGAGCCTGTCACTAAAATAATTGTTTCTAGGAGCACACAGTTGCAACATGTTTGGAGAGTAACCCAAATCCAGAACAGCATGGAGCTCACCCATGTGCCACAGATCTCCCTTTACCTTCTACTTGTATACATCATCTCTTATTACTGATGTTTTTTCTGAGAAAGAGTTTAACCTTTTTAAGATATGTTTGAGTTTTTGGCTTTGTACATGTGTTTTGGCAAAGATCTTGAAACTGGCAATCTACCAATAGGAAATCAATTGACAGAGAATTAGTGGCTATGTACCAGGTAGATTTAAAGTCTTCCTTTTTAGTCTCGAATGTATTATGGATATTCAGACTTGCGGAAATTTCAGCTCAGTGATCTGCTGGGAGATCTAACTGATTTCAGCAAATAGTAAAAAAAGCTCTCCAATACTTTCCCATTAACTCTTTTCCTTTTTAACTGAGCAACCACCCATACATTTCTTACATGAGTAAGTAACTCGTTCCCTTGTGAAGGAAAGATTTCTGAAGCCATGTGGAATAGTGCCCTATAGTGACCTTACTGCTGCAGCAGTAAACCTCACTTCAGAAGTGATATTCCTCACTTTTTCTAAAACTTGCTTTCATTCTGCCTTTTGATCCTTTGTTTAAATCATTGCTTTTGAAAAGCTGGAAGGCATTTTGTAACATCCTCTGTTATTTGCCAAGCCTAGGTTATGCCTATCATGCAAAGTGTCTAAAATGTGCTGCCATTTCCACTAAGCCTTAGAAATGTCTGCTTTGCAATTAATTTTTAACCTTCAAGTGGCACAAATTTCCTAGAGGGTTTGCTCATTTATTAATGCCCGCTGTGATGCAGGAGTTGCTGGTGCCTAAGGCAGGGAAATGCAATGCACTAGTAATTATTACTAATTATTTGTCTTATGCTGCATCATAAACAGTTATTAGTTTGCCAGAGCAACTTATACCCATCTTCATTAATAACTTAAATGTGAACAACTCTATATAAAGTAACTTCAAAAAGAAAACATGTCAAATTGTTTTCCCTTGAACGTTTCCAATCTAGCAATTAACCACACATTGCACTTATTAATGTGCACAGAATCCCTCCTTTAGCTTACACACATTTTACCTGTGTGTAAGCTACAAGAGTGGAGACAGGCAAACAATAAATTTTTGTAATTTTAATAGCCTTTTTCTACACAATCCATAATCTGTGATGGACCTCAAACTTTCCCTTAATCTTTGATTTCTCTCCAGATGACAGCATGGTGGCTGTGTGTCCATGTACAACTGACCTCTGCTGCAGGGAAGGCAGCTTGTCAGACGTCTGTAATTGCTGGCCAGTTTGCCCTCTGTTGTTCTCATAAAGCAATCTGGGGCTACAATAACCACCTTCTGAACTCACAGAATGAGAATATAAGAGTTTTGAAAATAATCTTAACTCTGTGCTACTGCACTTTCACCTGATGACTAAGAATATGTAATCAGAAAATGCTACTAGCAGAATATATTGAGTTATATATAATATATATATATATTAAAAAATACATATATAATATATATATATATATATAATGTTATGGATTCGTGTGTGTGTCCATGTACAACTGACCTCTGCTGCAGGGAAGGCAGCTTGTCAGACGTCTGTAATTGCTGGCCAGTTTGCCCTCTGTTGTTCTCATAAAGCAATCTGGGGCTACAATAACCACCTTCTGAACTCACAGAATGAGAATATAAGAGTTTTGAAAATAATCTTAACTCTGTGCTACTGCACTTTCACCTGATGACTAAGAATATGTAATCAGAAAATGCTACTAGCAGAATATATTGAGTTATATATAATATATATATATATTAAAAAATACATATATAATATATATATATATATATAATGTTATGGATTCGTGTTTAATGAGAAAATGTAGAATTAGTGGGGTACACTGAAATAACTGGATATTTTTCATTAAAATGAGTTACAAATACACTATTGGTCATAACTGTTTTGTTTTGAAAAGGGAATATAATAATATCTTCTTGGTGCATGAAGATTTTATCCCTGCCTTGTAAAATCAGTGACAACAGAATTTGCATGCCTAGAGCAAGAAATCCACAAAAATGGTGAGGCCTTTTGCAGTGGAAGATTAGAGAGGACAATGGTGAGATTGAGGTCAAAGGGGACAGAGCATCACTTCTAGGGAAATTTGTTATTCCTTCAGAAAATAACAATTTGTTATTGAATCCTTCAGAGAGCTTCTTAACTAGGGTGCTCATAAATTTTTCTTGAGTTCCTGGAGGTTGTTACTTGTAGGGACACCTAGCCCGTACTACCTAGGATTACTTCTCTCCAAATTTCCTTACAACAGTTTATTCTGAGGAAAAATTTGTGGGTTTGTTAATATACTACCCTGGCCACTGAAGTTATTTCTGAACTCCTCTCTACACAATTCCCCATTTTTAAATCATAATTTTACTAAATCTGTTGTTATGTTTGATGAGGATTTTTAAACAATTTCTCCTTGACACATACATTTCCATCCTTTATTTTTTATACTTTCAAAAGACTGAGTTACTTCTGGGAAATGTGACTATAACAGATATCAAAATTGTGTCCCATTGAACTGGGGTTTACAGGATTTTTTTAAGAAACATCTCACGTAGTTATTACTAGAACACAAAATACCATTACTCTGTAACAAAAAATTCTAGGGCTTAACAAGCTCTGGAAATCCATTTAAGACATCTATTAGTATGTCTGGTATCATACAATGTGATGTCATGATATGTGTGTGATACCATGGCATCACGGTTATATGGATGGGACAGCATGTTAACAATAGCAGGATCTCATCAGGCCCATGGAGAACCAGTCTCATCTGTCAATTCAGGAATATTAAATGACTCCAAGGCCCTCTTAGGTCAAGAATAATTTAAAGCAATCTGCTGAGTTTGCAGGGAATTTGCAAGTGACATGCAATTTAAAGGAACCTAAACTATTTGCCATTTATGTTAAAGCTAAGGCAAACACTCCAACACTTTCAAAAGCAAAAATCAGTTTCTGAAGTTCAGTTTTGGGTGTCTGATATTGAAAGGGCCTTGTTTTAATAAACAGTTGCAAACCAAATGCACCAAACTCAAAACTTTTCAAATTGTGCATTTAAAACTACAGGTTTTTTTTCCCACATGCTACAACCTGCAGAAGCAGATGTTGCTCTTTAGGGACTTCACAGGAAAGCAAAAGATTCAACTCCAGTTAAATTGAGAAACTGTTATTTCATTACTGTATCCTCACCAGCAATGGAAGCTTTTGCTGCTCTTCAGGATTCTTTGTCTCCTGGTCAGGCACAGTCTGTCTAGGTCTGGCAGGAGCTGGAGGTGATGTGAATCCTTTAAGGCTTTTCATTGGGCTGGGTATACCTCACTCTTCCCAGGACAGGCCCAGGACCTCGAATGACAGTGGCTGCAATTAGTGTTTCCCACCAAAAGAAAACAAGAGATGAGGCTCCAGGGACAGGGTTCTGGAGGGTACCTCATGGACCAGAGAGATGGACAACAGTATGTCCAGGACACCAGGTTTTAAAGAACAAACCATGGTACCAAAAGGTACGTGTTTTCCTCATGTGTGAGGCAGCGTACCTGTGTGCAATAAGGGAGTGGGAAGCTGGGTTATCTACACTGGAGGTGGGTGCTATTTGCAGGAACATGGACTATCCCCAACAGCTCTGCTTGGCACTTCTCCCCCAGGAGCTGCATATGTCAATGTCTGGAGAGAAGCAGGGGCAATGCTGGAAGTCTGGCCCTCCTGTCTGGTACCTGTACCCACGAATGGTGAGGAAATAGGGGCAAAAAAAAACCTCTGCCTTTGGGCAGCCTTGTCCTTACTTAACCAAGAAAGCATCTGTTCTGGAGCTCTCCCTGTTCTTCCAGAGAGGGCTAAGCAGGAGCCGGGTGCCATGGCAGTTGACCAGGCTGCTACGGGGCTGATGGCCAGGCTGCCGTGGGGGTGATGCTGAGGCTGGCCTGGGGGGTATCTTAGGCAGCTTAGAGGGTGGTGGCTAAGCCTTTGTGGGGCTGCCAGCTGCTGCCGTGAGCGTGGTGGTGGGGATGCTACTTCGGCTGTCGTGGGGCTGCCGGCTGCTGCCGTGCGATGGTGTCAGGATGCTGTGGAGGTGGCGGTGGATGCTGCCTGGGCTGTCGTGGGGCTGCCGGCTACTGCCGTGCGATGGATGCTGTGGAGGTGGCGGTGGATGCTGCCTGGGCTGTCGTGGGGCTGACGGTGAAGCCGGCGTTGTGCTGACAGCCGGGCAGCGCATCTGCCTTCTCGGGGCGCAGCCTGCGCCGCTGTGGGGGTGACATCGCGGAGCCGAGCGAGCGCCCCTCAGGCCGGAGTTGCGGGGGGCCGGGCGGGGACACCGAGCCGGCCCCTCGGCCGGCACCTGCCCCTGGCCCCGCGGCCCCGCCCCGGCCCGCGGGCGGCGGCGGGGGTGTCTGCACCGGGGCCGCGCGGGCGGAGGAGGAGGAGGAGGAGGCGGGAGGAGGAAAGCGGCAGCAGCAGCTCTCGGGAGGAGCCTGTCCACCGTGAGACAGCATATTCAGCCGGCGGCGGCGGTCCTGCCGCAGCGGCGGGCGGCGCAGCTCAGCTCGGCTCGGCTCGGCAGGGCGCAGCTACTGGCAGCAGCCCTTCAGTCAGCGGGGCATCCCTCTGCTCCCCCGGCGGCGAGGGCTCGGTGAGGGCTGCAAGGCGCCGGGAGCGAGGGCTCGGTGAGGGCTGCAAGGCGCCGGGAGCCGCTCCGCATCCCCCGGGCGCCGGCGGAGGTGAGCAGCCCGCGGGGCGGCGGGGCCGGACCGGAGGGGCGAGCGGGGGCTGCCCTTGGGCCCGGCGCTGGCGGCGGAGGAGCGGGGCGGGAGTCGCTCCGCGGGATGCGCAGCGGCCGCGGAGCCTGGTGCGGCCGCCGGAGGCGCTCCCCGGGAAGGCGGCCCCGGCCGGGCGAGAGAGCATCCCCGGCTGGGCGAGCGGGGATCCCGGCCGGGCGAGCGGGGATCCCGGCCGGGCGAGCGGGGATCCCCGGTTGCCAGCGGGAGCGGCCGCCCCCGCCGCGGGCGGACTCTGGCAGCCTGGCCGCTCGTCGGGCTGAGGGCTGCGGTGAGCGAGCCTCGCCGGCCCCGGCACCTGCTCCGCTCCCTGGGGCGCCTCTCGGCCCCGGTTGCGAGTGCTTAAAGCAAAAGGGGGTGGTAAAAGTTTTTCATCTATAATTCTTCTCGCAGTGCGAGCGGTAGCGGGTTTGCTCAAGTCCAGGACGACAGCGGACAGTAAATAAATCTTTCTCCCTTCTTAAGGTCATTCCCTAAAAGGGTGAGAAAAGGAGGGAGTCAGCCAGAGGCCTTTTTTCACTGGTAGTCCAGTGAAATAGATTTTCAAAAAGATGTTATTGCAGTTACATCATCCCAGGAATCCCCCATGGTCAGCAGACAACATAAGGCCCCAGCTTTCCTAGACAAAGCCCCTGTTTTATGGACTGAAACAAAGTTTTTCTGTCAATATTGCCATTGACAGAAAGTACAGATTTGAGCTATAAATGCATATAACATAAGGATTCTTGGCAGATCAAGCAATCTAGGCTGCTAATATAGAGGGCATGAGATGGAAGCACCTGACATGAAGTTGGCATGTGACTTTGGCAATTGCACCTGGAAATTCATCCTGACATACAATGTTTCATCGGTGCTTCACTTCTGCTTGAGGACTTTAAAAAACATTGGAAACTGCACTAAATATAATGAAAGCACAGGACTGCAAAACCTGTTTCAGAATGGAAACCCCAGGTCCCAGGACTGCCTGTCTCCTGATAGATGGTGTTATCAGAGCAATCGGGGAATTTAATTTCTGTTACTACCAATGGCTTTGTTGAAGTGCCTCATTTGTTCTTGCCAAGTTAATGGGGAAAAGTTACATGTTTGTTATTCTGATTCTTTTAAGCTTTTTTTTTTCATTTGAGATGGCATCTCTAGTAACATTCTCCATATTTAGTGAAGGCAGATAAAATTCCTTTTATAATTTCTCTGCAGCATTTTTCTGCAAGAATGGGTTTCTTCAGTACAAACTTTGGGGCTGCATCTGGGTGTTCTCCCCATGGGAGTGCTCAGTGTGACACCAGTGCATCCTCTGCTTTGTTTTCTTTTCCCAAATTTATCCATTTATAGTTTGTAAAAATACAAAATGTGTTGTCCCTTCTGTACCTTCTCTGTGAACAGACTGTTTTAAGATTGGGACTTACTAATGGCCTCCTTGTTAAGCAGGACTTCTGAGGGCCAGGTATGTGGAGATCCAAAAGATGATTTAGAGTTAGATTGGCTAGATTTCTCTCAGCTCTAAGCACCTCTGCCTCTAATAAGTCTACCATAGAAATTCACTAACTGTAGTGCTGCCTTATCCACAGCTTAGGAGAGGAATCTTTAAAGGAGCAGCAATAAGCCACACCTTAGACATGCAGTAATTACTGGAAGTTTGGAAATCTGACTACTCAAATAATAGTCAGGGAAATAGTCTTTTGTACCCAGCAGATCTTAAATTAAGAAGCTGACCTTCCAGCTCTTTCTATAGAAGGAAGGGCAGTGAGCTACCCTCCTTTGTGGTGCCTTTCAGTGGCCATTTTTTTTCATTATTGAAATGTGTTTGTTTTTCAGTGTATTTTTCCAACTTCACGTTTCTGGTTCCTGTTATGCCTCCCATAGATAAAAGCCTTGCTTTAGCAGCTGTCTTCAGTGTAGGTACTCTAAACCATGCAACAAGAACTTACCTGCCTTATTTTCAAATAAATTAACATATTCAGTCCCTTGGTCTTATTTTCTTTTGTAAGACAGGTTTCAAAAAGCATTCCTTGCTGCCCTCTGTTTCCCAGCATGCAAGAAGAGAGAGGGGGAATACTGGACAGAGCTGGTGCTCTGTCTGACAGGCTGTGTTAAAGGCACCACCATTGCAGGATATTGGACAATGATGTGAAATGGGCTGGAAGGGAAAAAGATAAGGGATTGAAATAGAAAAAATAAAAGGGTATAGAAAGGCAGTATTGTTTTTGAAAGCTTTATTTACTCCTGCTGGTGTATCAGTAAATCATGTGGTATCTTTCAGCTCCTCAAACTTAATTTCTCACAGAGATTTTAAACATACTTCTGGTTACTCTCTAGGACTACTCAGGCTTATTAACTGGGGCTATGCCTCAGGTGCCCTGTTGAGCTTCTTTGGCTTGGTCTGACCAGCAGCAGAAGTAGTAATTAGGAATCTTTCAGAGTTACCTACACCTAGTGCCAAAATGAATTGCTGCTTGGAGTTGGTGGTGGGATGTTAACAGCCTGATCCTCCTTGTCGTTCCCCTGGGCTTTAATTTTTAGAGAAGTTGGAGGGAAGTAGCACTGAAATCCTCACTGAGGTGCACAGTGTAATTAATATCTGCAGAGATAAGGTCTCAGGCTTTCTGCAGCCATAGTCAGACCTAATGACCTCTCAGTGCAATACTCATCTGATACTTACTGATTTTATTTTAAAAACCTTAAATGAAACAAACCATAATGACTCTAGATGTAATCTGTGTTTAAAAGGGACATTTTCCAGCCAAAATACTGATGGAATATGATGGCAAAATGCCCTTTGTAAAGACGCAACTTGTGTTAGTAACATTGTGCTTTTGCCAGTGCAGTTTTATTTCTGTTTGTCAGGGTAACACAAGTCCTGCAGGTGAGTACACATTTACCTGTCCATATGGGGGCTTGCATGTCAGATGAGGGCTCGAATGGTCTTCCTCTCAGCTGTTTGTAAGCAGGCAGAAATGGTGATGCAGGAATGGTACTGCCTGACAAGGAGACCCTGACTCAGTCTAAATCTCAGATTGATGCAATATGTCCCTTTGCTACTTGCTAATAATCCATCTAAAAGTGTGCTGGCTCTTTTTAGTTAGAGTTGACATTGGGAGCTGTTGTTCACTTGGCCATCTGCAAGCCTCAAAATAAGACAGTATGCATGAGCTTGCTCCCCCAATACTGTTCATTTTACGTGGCATCATCTTGCCAACTTTTCTGGGAAAATGGCTACTTCCAGGCAGATGGCAGGAGCTACAGGAAGCTGTGAAGCAGACTAATGTGTGAGCCACTAGATCTTACAGTTACAAGACACCTCTGATAATCTGTGACAGGTGATGTACCAACGCCTCCTGAGCTTAAAACTGTACCCCTTCTATTTTTACTGTGAATTTTCAACACTTTTTGTTGCACCTTTTGAGGCAAAAGCATGCTGATGGGTATCTGGGAGTGCAGTGCAGCATGGAGAAGGCATGGGGCAGGAGGGATGGTTTCTTGAAGCCTTGTGTGGGCAGCACACTCTAACTGCATTTAAGTTTAAGGAGAGAGGTCTCAGCCCTATCACTGCTGACAGTAATGGGAGTTTCTCTCTGACTTCTCTGGTGGTGAACCGAGCCTATAGAGTGATGGCAGAAGTCAGCTGCCCTCATTGTTTGAAAGCCATGATGCTTCTCCAAACAGTATAGAAGGAAATGAAAGCTTTGCATTGACTTAACAGAGTTTTTATGAGTCCCTGTCTAACTGCTGCATTGACCTGTGTGCAGATATCTGTGTTACCTGATGAATAATAGCTACCTAGATGTCTCTTGTGACTCTTGGCTCTTAATCTTACAGTGAAAGTACAGGTTTTATATTTAACACTGCTCTCATGTGTATGAATCAGCTGATCTGGAGAGACAAGTTGCATCAACCTGAGGAACAGACCTGGGAGTCCTTCTGGAGCAGTGCAGTTCTACCCTGTGTGTTCCCCAGATGCTGACTGGCTGTCCCTGCTTGGCCCTAGAATAATTAATCAATAATTTGATTAAAGGAGAAGGCTCATTTATTGCCACTCAACAGAAAACCATTACAGAAGGGATGTTTTAAGGACGTAACTTTTTATTTGTTAAGTGGTATCTTTTCTTCACATTTCCTGTCCCTCTTGCTATCATTCTTTGAGGCTTACCCTTTTCTCTTTTACTCAATACTTGTCTTAACATCACATTCCCTTCTTGCTGGCCTTCCCTTCCCCTCCCCTTTGTTTTCTCTCTCTAGCATAGAAATTATATTAATTCCTTGGTCTTTTCTCCCTCCAGCTGTGATGTGGTACAAATAATTCCAAATCCTGCTCCTCAGTTATTAATTTTTCACTTCAGACCAGCAGAAAGATGCAGTGTGTTTTGTGTTCAAACAATGGGGAGTTATAGTAAGGCAAAGACACAAAACTGCCTAGTATGATTAAATATAAATAAGTATAATAGAGGATCTATTTCTTATCTGTTTATATTGCTTTATATCAAGCCTTCCTTGATTCTTATATTTTCAGGCTGAATTTGAGAGAAAAAGCTATGCTATGTTAGTACTGAAACTATGCTGTGTGAGTATTGAAAGTTAATCATTGTAGGTCTTGGACCACATGCTGGGAAAATATGGATTTCTCTTGCCTTAAACTATTCACCCCTTCCCTTTTTTACCCTTTAAAACAGATCTTAGCTTTTAAAGGGCATAGAGAGTCGTATTAAATCCTTACTATTCAAGGCATGCCCTTGTTTCGTGTTTTGCACATTAGGCCACCACTGCTAGGATCAGAGTGGTTACCAGGTCACTTGGTAATTGGGGCAAAGACATTTCAAATGATTGCTATCACATATTTCCAGAAATTAAAATATGTAATAAAGCAGGGCTACCGGGAAAAAAACCCAACCAAACAAAAAATAACAAAATGACAAACCAATCCAGACTGTTTCTCATGTTTTCTTATATTT